AGAAACATATTTCACTTTACCAGCGCTAATGGCACTGCAGCATGTTCCGGACGTTGCGAGGACGTTTGCCACGTATTTCACGATGGCAAGATGGATGGTGATGCCCACTTCAAAGCCACTTGCTCGCTTAATGACGCGAAGCATGCACGTCTGGTCACTGGACGAGGCTTCAAAGAAGCCTTCGCAGCCGATGAATCATGAGAAGTTCCGCAGAAGAATGTTGCATCCATCTTCGTCGCTCGTCTTGCCTCACACCAGAGCAGATGTCAGTGACTTGGCCGTGGTTTGCATACGCTTGCGATGAGAAGACATGGAGGGATCTGAATAAGCTGACTAGCAGCAGACGGGCGGTGTATAAGGAATATTTAAAATTTCGTTACGGCGCTGTGCGTTTATTGGCGCATGGTTGCCGGCGCTATCTTCATTGTTCGGCTCCGTCAGCGCCGTCTGCAGAAGACGCTGCTGAGTGCTGACGACCTCCCATTCATCTCCATCCTCAGCAGTCGGCGATTGCGCCATGCACGCGGCTATGCGTGCGCGTGACCCCCTGTAACCTCTTTATTCCAATCACGTGAGACGCATGGGGCGCCGCACAGCGGGGCTCGGGAAAGAAGCGACGCGCCCGTCAAAAGCGGACGGCCCGACAACGTAGCTCTCCACGCTGTTCCTGATAATGAATGCAGTCACTCGTTGCGGCGAATGTTTCTCGCAGTTGCCGACACCGACTATGGTCACGTGATTTGATACGAGCCCATCTATGTATGGTACGTCACGTGACCTGAAGGTGCGGTGTGGCCCCAGTGTTAGGATTCAGGGACGCTGGCCGAACGGTTTGAGCCGCTGCGTCGTGGCGGTCGGCAGGTAAGCTGTTGTAAATGTCGCTCGTGTTTTCACTCATTTAGGGACTATCTAGTCCGGTGTGACCCATTACACCTGCGAAGTCTGTGCACCTGCATATAGTATATCGCGTTGAGTTTAATTGAGACCGAGGACACTGGGGGAAGTTTGTGAAGCCTTCTTAATGTTAATCTCTGAGATTCATAAAGAATCCCTTAGTTCCGGTGCATATAACCGGTTGGTCTGCAAACAAGATTATTGCATGGCAGCGTCAGCCCCAGAGCTCATGCGGTTTTGATGGGAATGCAGTTTTTCTTCTGAGTTAGCCCTTTCCGGAGTAGCTTTCAGTTGCATATAAGTATTATGCTACCTATCATTCAAGTGCTAGCTGCCCCAAATCAGCTTAGATATATGTCCAGAGAGCATGTATGACAGACCATATCCTAGAAGGTTCTACCTTAACCCTCGCATGTGTAGGGGGGGGGGGGGTCGGATGGACCCCCCCATGGTTTTTCGCGAATAACTCGCGTAAAAAGCGGCCGATCGCGACGAAACTTTCAGTACCCTCGCATTGATCAATTTTACACCTACCCTGAAAATATCATGACCCTGACCCAAATGACCTTTGACCTGTGACCTCTTTTCCGAGACCATGTTTGACCGGAATCGCGATTTCGCGTATGTCGGCTCGCACTAGCCGCGTGTTTGCAAGCTTTTCGTGGTTTCAAACGTTCAAACATGTGATTTGATGTTACTCCCGTGTGTGTCAAGGTCACCTGAAGGTCAGGTCAGGTCATTGACCTTTGGTGACCTCGGGTGACCTCGGGTCACTTTTTCGAGTTTTAAATGTTTCTAGGCTAGTTTTTGGAGCTGGATTCGAATTTAGCAACCATTTGAACATTTACGAAGTAGTTTTGGTGACTTCGTAACATGTTACGAAGCTGTCAGAGGCGGTTGACACGTACTACGAATACCCGTCACGACGCCTACTGGTTGACCTGACCTGACCTGACCCGACCTGGTCTAAATGCTTCAAGACATCATCTGTGATCAAAACTAACACGATATTCGTGATCAGCACCCCGAAAAACCCCTTAGCAGCCACACTTTACGACTTTCTAACAGGTCCCGATTTTCCCGACTTTGGGTCATTGACCTGACCTGGAAGGTCAACCAATGACCTAGGACCTTAAAATTGGGTATCATCGGCTTCCTCTCGTCACGGGCAACACGCTCGTTTTTTCCGCGAAGCTCTAGCTCGATCAGGGGCCAAACGGCAAGGGGGGGTCCAACCGACCCCCCCCCCCCCTACACATTAGAAGCTGGAAAACGCCGCACACATGCGAGGGTTAATCGTAGCAAAAAAGCAGCTGACCATAAAGAAATCATTTCATTAAGTGCATGGAAAAGGAACCTGAAATATAATCCAGTCAGCCACCGACTCATTCAAATGACTTTAATCAACCGACCCCATTTGGATGATTTATTAACCTTTTAAAACCTCGGAATGCCCTACAACAAAACATCTCAAGATTTCATCAGCTGGACATGGATTCCATCAGCACGTGCAGCTTTACTCCGGAGAAAGCACCATCAGCCTGACGGGCACGGCATGTCGTCTATGAGCGGCCCCCATTCCGAGCCTTATGGTCAGCTTGTTTTCGGAGTGGACCCGCGGCGCCAGCCACAACAAACGCTCTGGAGTGTGCCGCTGCAGGTCTTATGACCGGCACTTTACAAACGGGGCCACACAGCAGGCGTCATTATAGCAGCAATTAGATAACATTTGCACACAGTCTGCAGCGCGATGAACATGGGGACATATCCGAGAGCGATCTTTAAATATCTATTCAAATGAAACAGTAGGCATTCACCTGAAGCCCATCATCTCATAAACCGTTCATACATTGCTCTGGTTAGATGCGATGCTTCACCGTCCTTAACACTGCCTGCTCTTGGGACAATGGTCATAATAAAATAACATTAGGACAATGGCCATAATAATAACATGAGTTGAACGCAACTCGTAAAGTATTTTAACTTTGCAACATAACTGTGTATCGCATTCATCGTATAACGCTACTATTGACATTGAGGACCGTTCACACAGGACAACAATGCTTTATCTCACCATATAGTTAAGCCGGGTGTGTAAAGTTACCTTCTGAGCTCCGAGGACCTTAGCATGGCAAATACAAATACCTTATCGCCCATCTTCTAATGGGGTGGCAAATAGATATCATTCGTGCAACGTTCAAGCGCACAATGAGGAAAACTGGTCGCAACTTTGTCTGTAAATCGGTCTGGCCTTTGGCGGCTCTGACAGAGGAAGTTCTGCCATATAAATCAAAAATGCATTTGTAACACAACACTCGAACGACAAAATGTGTCACTGACAACTTTTTCATCACCACTGCCGGTAGGCACATTATCATGTGTGAAATAAGATGAGCGTAACAAATGGAGCAGCGTCACTCACTATGGTACATATGTACTGTCAATAATATTGGAGTTAGCTTTACTATACAGCATAATAGCATAAAGTCATCGTACCTCTAGGTACCCAGAGCTGATATCAGGACATCAGTGGGACTGCACTTTTTTATATCTGCCGTACCTACACTTCAAGACAATTTTGCATCTTATGGGAATTTTGACTATGTCACTATTTTTCGTACCTATATTTGCTATGTTTAATTAAAATAATAACGAAGTAACAAGAAACAATCACGGGACGAAAATTCTAGCCGGTTTATTTCTTCATTTTCTTTATATTACATTAATTTTGCATCCCATTAGCTTTTCGTTATTTCCATTACAACACGTCTCTAACTAATGCTGCACTCTGATGCACGCACAAGTACCAGAAATATATCGCTGTACCCTGCTTATTATCATGATTTTATGGATGCCTATCTTCAATTAACCTGACCTGCATATCGTACACATCGTCTGCTGTCATCATTTCTTGTTTTGCATGATTCCAAAGAAACACCAACGCCTCATTACAGCAAATTTAGCTCCCCACCCCTCCCAGTACGCATCAGCGAGCACCATCACACGTTTACCGCCCACGCACACTGTTCTGACAGTCTGTGCCGACAGCCTGCTGGAGCGCTGACCGATCGCGCCCCTCACCCCGTCCGCTCCATTAGCTAACACTTAAACAGTGTGCCGATCGGGGGCCGGTGGTCCTCCGTCTGTCCTGGTGAGAGGGGGGATGGTATGGCCACTGGCCAGCCGGTGAAGGAGCTGTTCACGCTCCAGATACAGAGATGGAACGGGAGGGGAGGAGAAAGAAAGTGTGCCTCTGTGAGCGGTGGTATCAGATATAGGACGGTCGCGTCAGGGGGATTTCGGACGCTAGGGTGAAACAGACAGCTAACGTTTTAAGCATTGGGGATCAAGGCGCGCTAAGATGAAACATTCACAGATGTCTAACAGCCCAATAAATGTAAGTGCCACCCTGCATCGTAGCGATACTACCAGTATTTCTGCTGAAACAGGTGTAGTTAATCCTGACAGAGCTAGTAGGCTAAATCTCGAAATAGCCCAGCATCTTAGAACTCGCCTGAGAGCCGCCCTCTTTAAAACGATCCTTCCGTTTGTGTTGTAACAGAGCCACATCGATCTCCATTTTCCGATATCCTTCATCTGGGATTACCAAAATACCTCCTGCCACCTAATCAAAGGATCTGAATATTTCCAGGCTGTTTGGTGTGACAGGCGACAGCCGGCGGCAGAGGGATTTTCGTAAAGTCCCGTTCAGGTGGCAGCTGGGTCGGTTCATCTGTTCACAACTGACGTGTTTGGCAGGACCGATACGGGAGGACAAAAGGAGACCCGGCCGGCCTCACACGACGCTAGCCCTCGGCCGGGGCGGACGAGTCGCCAGTCGGTTTCTGAGCGGTTTACACGGCTGAATGGAGCTGAAAGTGCTGCGCGTCTGACCACGAGAAGATCACAAAAGCCGTTTTTCTGTATCTATATGCTATTCGTGGGATTGACGATTCAGCTGATAGAAAACACAAACACGGAAGAAGAGTTTCAAAGATACTAGACAACACAACGCTTTTTTAGGGTAAAAGGTATATCAAACAGCACCACCATTTTACACAACCTCACATCCGAGCCCAGTCCCGTCCCTCTCCCGGCCAGCTTACGTGCTCCTCTGGAAGCGTCGTCAGCCATCATGTTGAACTCGGCAAAGGCCCGCTTCGGTCCCAGTTTGCGCAGCCGGTTGACCCCGGGCCGCGAGGCGAGCTGATGTTTGAGGGCCGAGGCGGGCAGCTTGGACTGCGGCTGGTCCGACTGAGTGCCGCGCATCAGCTGCTCCCACAGCTGCTGCATCTGGCGGAAAAACGGCATCAGTCACACGAGATGAAATTTTCCTCTGAAAATAGCTTTAAACAGCCCGTTAATAAGCTATTTTCAAAAATAAGAACAGTCCGTTCTTACATCGGAATCTATGAAAATCAAATAAAAAATGGGATTGACTACAACTTCAATCATAAAATACCAGAAAACCTTCAAGCGTATGAGATTGATTCAACGGCAAAGTTCATTAGACCAGCGTACGGGGCTCAGTTTGAATACATCTTGTGACGCTGGCGATATTTCAGGAGTCGTGGGTTGGTGCCAAAACTAAATGCAGGATGTCACAAAAACGGGACAGCAGCCCGATCCCACGTATGACAGAATTAATCGGATTAAATTCGTGAGCCGCCGCCCCGTTCAGGGTTGTTTACCCAATTGTCATGTTGGCGTACGTGGGCGGAACTTTTTGTTGAGGGAGGATTAAAGGGAGACGGCTGCACAGTGGTGCAGCCCGTATATACCAATCCAAACAATCAACATACTTGGCCGATGAAGAAAACAGAACTGCATCACCTCAACAACACCGCTCACTTTTCAGCGAGTGGTAAGTTACTGCACACGACATAATTCGATTTCCGCCTTACTACTTGAATGATTTACGGTGTTCGCGACTAGATTGGAAATAACTGACGCCTTTTCATTCATCGAAATAATCCTTTCCCAACGCAGCATTTCCAGATTCAACATCACAGCGTATTTCGCAATGGCGCAAAGACGGTATAAAAAAATATTTTATTAGCTATTCCGATGACTGTTGCTGTGGCACATCTGCTTCAAGGACGGATAAAGTAGGTACCTCTGCAGTTCCCACTTCTGACCCCACGGCCCCACCGGACCCGCCGTGACGTCAGGTCGTGTCGTCGGGAGGCCGCATTCCGAATATGATGGCGGCCCCCGGCCGACAGCCGAACTCCAGCACTCCATGGAAATTCCCGCAGACACGGGGCCAAAGCGTGACCGATTCGGAGCTCCAAGAGGGGGAGAGGATGAGAGCTGCTGCAGCTAATGCGCAGCTTCTCTGCAACCGTCTGCAGCCGCCGAACACGAACGCGAATAGAGCGGGCTGTGAAATATCCGGGAATGTCCAACGGAAGAGCTTCTAGCAGGGCCCAGGACAGAACGAGCTGTATGAAAACTGCAGAAGAAGGGCTGAATCAGAGCGACGCAATTAGACTTCACGTGTTGTGAAAACTAGCACACTCACTTGTGTGAAGCTCGAAAAATGGGAGCCTGGATAAAATTAAAACCCTATCGAGAAACAGAAGATCGCGCGATGAGAAGAGCATATTGATGAATTACATATTGATACATACACACATACATACATACATAGGTGCGTTCAATAAGTAAGTTCCGGAGAGCAATTACATAAAATTCACGCGGTCTACGCACGTGATTTTTTCAGGGATTAGAATTCAGACCTTTATGTCGAAGTGACCACATTTTCAGCTTCTTATTCCAGTTCTGTGACGATATGGAGCAGATCAAATAACACCATTTTTTTAGACTGCTTTAGAAATGGCATCGGCCACCCGAGAGGATCAACGTTCAGTGATACGATTCCTAGCTATCCAGGGCTAGCCGGCGGCTAACATCCACGCCAATTTCGTGAATGTGTACGGGAGCCATGCTCTTAGTGATTCCGCAGTTCGGAAGCGGAAGAAAAAGTTTGGGTAGGGGAGGGAGAGCGTGCGCGACCTGGCACGTGCAGGCAGGCTGAGGACGATGGTCACAGCCACTGACGTCGCCAAAGTGGAGGAGATGGTGATGGCCAACAGAAAGATTACTGTCCAGGCGATAACAGAAAGCCTAAACATAAGTCTACGCCAGGATCATTAGAGACCATCTCCTGCCAGTAATCGCCAGTTGCCGCCCCGGGAAGGCCCGTGGTCGGTTCATCCTCCACCAGGATTGCGCGCCTCCTCACCGTGCCCTCGTGGCGAGGGATGCCTTGCAGGCAGAGGGCATCGAGGTGCTCTAACACCATCCCTACTCTCCAGACGTTGCACGCAGTGACTATTGGCTGTTCGCAGACATGAAGAAAAATATCCGGGGCCGGAGGTTCGGCTCGCGGTCTGCACTCGGGTCTGCTTTTTACCAGTATGGCGAAAAGACCCTCACTCAAAGCTTCCGTGCGGCCATCCGGGACCTGGCCAAACGATGGGACCGATGCGTTCGCCTGCAGGGCGAGTTCGTCGAGCCGTGAGCCATGTTTGGTTGAGATGTGCCAAAAAATAAACGAGTTATATCAAAACGGAACTTACTTATTGAACATACTGGTACATATTGATGAATGGCATGGCCATTATGGTCATGTTCAGGACGGCCCACTTAGTAGCTTGTCAATGTCAAATTGGTCGAATTGGTCAACCCAGAAGTGTGGTATCATATTTCGGCCATATGTGCAACTTCATAAAATGCGGGATACCCCATGCAAGTGTAACGGAAGCTTCATTTAGCCGCGGGCAGCCAGACCACAGGGCAAATAATGCTCGGAAATCCCAGTGCCGTCAAGCGGGATCTCCCCTGCCATCGAGGTTGGTATGCAGTCTGGGCCGCAAATCGCCGACCAGGGGCCAGCCAGCGTGCTTGGAAACCTGAGAACCGTTTTATCAACGATAATACCACCGTAACTGCGAGAAGAGAGCTTGTTCTCTATGCTAAATCAGGAGGGATTAGGAGTTTCCAGCCGACAGAACTGACGCCACTGGATGCTCCCACCTCACCAAACTCCCCCGTCCCTAGTTAGGCCTCCGGAGACTCTCACCCCCCGTGCCCGCGTGCCGGCCGCCCAGCTGAGTGAGCTGCGTCAGCGTCAGCGGGCGGTCGCAGCTCGACCAGACAGCTCGGCGGCTGCGGCGCCCCCGGCCGCCCTCCCGGCCGCCGGGCGGGGGCGGGGGCGGGGGCGGTCTGTGACCTTGGCGGGCCGCCCACCCGCCGCATGAACCGAAATGAGCCGACGTCGGCTCGGCGGCGTCGAAGGCGTCGCCCCGCCCCTACCCCGCCGCCGTCACCGACACCAAGGCCGCCTCCGTCTGCCCTGCAGGCCGCGCAGACCCGACTGAAAGCCGCTGCCGGCTGCTCGGATGGCTCGCGGTCACAGTCAGAGCGGCACGAATTCAGTCGACGCGTTGATGATGCCATCAGCGGGTCCCAGCACTTGCAGAGCTGCTAATGGAGCTTAGACCATCGGAGCGGGCCGGTCAAATGGTCGGATGGCCGTCTGCACGACCAGACTTCCTCCTCGTGGAGGGGAGGTCGTCACATAGAGCGTCACCACCATGACGCTGCAGTGCGGGATGGGTGTGAGATTGGACAAGATCGGACGATGTATGTGTATATTAGTCTGATAATACAGTGATGGCGTGTGTGAACGGAATATGTCCCAGCGGGGATTGATGCGGTCCCATTAGTGGCTAATTCATTTTTATGGAAGGGTAGTGGAGGCATTACAACCCCTTTCATACAATTCAACCGAACCGTCGGCCTTGTGCAATGATAACATTGCAAACAGGGTTAGTTTCGCTTACTCTATCCACTGTCCGCCTATATAGTTGAGGGGCAGTAAGACAGTGAGATAAACATTATATGCTGTGCATCATCCAGTGCACTGTGCATGTATGTAGTGCACCAGTGGTCTTGCAAGCTGCGTCCATTTTGATATAAAAAACTTCTTAAGTTAGGTATTCGTCACTATTACTGTTCCATGCAAGCCATAAGATTTATAGACCACAAACCCCAATACTGTTGCAAAACACAGGTAACAACGCGCACAAGCCCATTTGCCGATAAGGCGCACAGCAACTGACGAAAGGCAAACAATTTTGCACCACCAATGTTAAGTACACAAAAAGGGCTCTGGGATGTCATATCCATTTCAACGTTTGCTTGCATCTGCAGTATAAACACCACCACGTCTTCGGGGAACTCGCAAGTCGCCACCTAACGAACTTTGACGATCTGAAATAGCTCAAGTGGTGAGGGAAAGAAGCTCAGCTGATTTGCTGTTTTGTCACTTTCTAGTTTCTCATGTTGTGTAAACTGTCGCGAAATCTAAATGCATGTGGCTATTGGATTAAGTAACTGTGACGCATCATCATACCACAAAATAATTTAATAAGTGTCATGTTCTGGGGATAGCTTCATATATTTCTGCGGCCCAACGCATAGACGGCTAAGAATTCAGTAGGGGAAGCGGGGGGAACACCGCCACTGTGGGAAACACCGCCACCCCATCTGGCGGCGAAAGTATGAAATGTGAAGTGTAAAAATCCGTTAGGTATTTCCTATTAACCGCACGAAGGTAAGCGTCTTCTGATTTGTGTTCCGGTGTTTCAGTGTAATCGAAGCTCAATGTGGGCATTTAAAGAAAAATGCACATTCTCTTATAAAAATTCGATGAGTTAGGAGCACTTTTGAATGTCTTAAAGTAGAGACTTGTTTTGATTTACTTGATTACAACGAAAAATAACTGATCGGCTTTGTCCAGTAAGATAGGTTTGCTTGAACCGTGTAGTACATTCTTGCCGCTGGCGATTTTTGCTTGTGATCACTTATTGGGGAACACCGCCACCCCGTGGCGGTGTTACCCCAATTGAGGTTGCGGTGTTTCCTGTTCTTAGCGTGATAAGTGATGAAACTCCAAAGACACGCTTTATTATGTTCGTAGATGTTGCTAAGTCGGGAATAAGCAGCTTATTTGATTTTTTTATTATATATTTTTCATGCATCCCGACCAAGCACTTGTCAGTTGTATATACCTACCTGGCAAACAGCTGATGAACCTATACCTATTTAGGTGTCCATTACCGATTATTTGCGAAAATTACCACTTACCGACAGGAAACTCATCGCACGCGATCGCTGAACAATTAAAAGCTTTCGTAGGAATGGGTTGGGTTAACATCAACACCGGTGGCGGGGTTACCCACACAATATGTAGGCGGAAAATATGCAAGGTATTTTTAAAAGTC